CTGTGGAAGCAATAACAGACCAATTTAAAAAAGCAATTAAATGAAGTCATTCAGATAGATATAACTCACAGGCTTAACAAAGTAATCAAATAGTTGGGTTACTTTGCTCAAATGCTGCAATCAGAGAATATCAGGTACCTAATGTGAAAATCAACTTGCATGCCTAAGAAACTATAAAGTAATTTTCTCAAAGACTTGTCACTTTTGAAAGTAGAAACATAAATAAGAAAACTACGAGAAAGGAAAAGTTTGCAATGGTTTATCTGCTTATAAGAATTCACTTGTTTTGTTTTGTCTTGAGAAATCTGATTTTAATATGGTTGATTTCCCTTATTAAAGAGAGGCACATATTCAGAGAACGTTAAAGCTGGCACTGCCACCTCTTTTCAGGTGCCAACTGCCAGCTCAACTTTACGCTCTGTGAACTAAGGAGTCTTCCCTGGAAATTCAGAATTACCTCATTTGCTGGGTAAGAGATACCTGCCCATTGTCCTCTATTTTCCATCCTCTCAGCCCATTGAATGGGCCTCGAATTACTTCAGTTTGGTGACTTGGGACATTGTAACCCAGATACAAGAAGAGTGGCTTAAACTGACTTAATCCCGCTCCCAAGACTGCTGCTCTACAGCCTCTTAGGTGACCAGGGTTTAGCTTCTGCCTGGGACTTTGAATAGAGCCTGTTGTCTTGCCACCTGGCAGAGCTTTTGCCGTGAATAGGCAATACACTAAGTATAGTCATAACCACCAAATTCCTGAAAAAGAATTCTGAGCTCTGCTGTACCTTGTCTACCTGATGGGTTGTCCCAGGTAAGAGCGTCCTGCATTATGACTGAGTTTTTCTGTGCTCTTTGGACTCAGAACTAAAGCCAAGTCAATCCACACTTCTCTATCTCGCACTTTCTTAACAGTCTTTGTCTTGGCTTTGATCTTCATGAGCTGTTCCTTTTGCCTTAGGATAACCATATGCTACTTTCATGTTACAATAGTTATCACAAAGGAATAATTTACCTCTCTTAATATGGAAGAAATCCAGAATGTGAGCACCATATCTATAGAGATTCCTTGGATTTCTTTTATGCTGTCAGTGCTGAGTGCATTTTGTGATGTTATAACAGTATATGACAGACTGAGTATTATGTAAAGAAGTTATCCATTTTTCACTGGTTTGGAACCTTAGAAGAGCAGCATGGCAGAGGGCATCACATGGGAAGAAAGCATAGAGAACTCACAATCAGTTCTGCCTCCCTGTTCTCACAAAGACACTAATGCCATTGTGGGGGCCACATCTCATTTAACAAACTAATTACCTCCCAAAGATCCCAGCAGCAAATATGATCAAAATACAAAGTTGAAGACAAAATTTCCAATACAGTGATTTTAAGGGACACATTCAAACTTCTGCAATTAGATCGAAGCAAAGGGGAGGTGACAGGCCTATTGTAATGCTTAAAAGCTCTTGATATACCTGTACCTCATCTGTTCGTATCAGAATGTGTGGGTGTGAGTCTTAGCTTCACCACCAATTTCATCTTGCTAATGTGCCCCTTGGGAGGCAGCAGCAGTTGGTTTCTATCTCCCACCTGAGACCCAGGTTCAATTCCCAGCTTCTGATTTCGGCCTGGCTCTGCGCCGACTGTGGCAGGCATCTGAATCAGCTGATGGGAGAATGCTGTCTATAAACAAACAAAAAGAAAACTCTTAAAATGACATGTGATCTTACTTTAACTCATTTCATAATAATCAGATAATCCTAATAGATTATAAAATAAAGAATAACAAAAAGCCAGGAAAAAAGAACTGGAGTTCCAATTTCACTTTTTTTGGTATAACTATTGAGGAATTTTTAATTTGGCTCATCACTTCAGTGGGAATTCAGTGCACATAAGAGGCACATATGTAATTGGCAACCTAATTTTTCTGCTTTCATCAAATGATGCAATGCCAAATCTTCATTGAACTTGCCAGTTAAATGCACTTGGGAGCCCAACAGCAGCAAGCATACATGAGATGAAAATGAACAAACTGAAAAGAGTCATTAGCTTTCTGTTTTCCTATCACAACAAAAACTGAATCATTGAAAATGCTACAAAATGGGAATTTCTACTTGAAATATTAAACAGCCTTGAAAGAGAATAATATACTTAACTTCAAAATGTTATTTGTTATAGTTTAGAAATGAGGTTTCCAGTGCGGTTTTTTTCCACACACAAAAATGAGTCAATTTTTCAGAAGTGTGTTTTAAGTCATGGGTGTTCTCAAGTTTCCCTGCTCTCATGCATATGATTTCTAGTCTTCATCTGGAAAGTAACTTGAGAAAATTAAACCAGAAATGTTGGCTTTATTTAAAACCGTAAAGAGTAAAGGCACTTGATAGATCGTCATGGTTATCACTAATTCTGAATGCAATTTGAGAGTGTGAAAATTACAATCAGTTGTGGTTACAAAATATGCTTTTGAAATATCTGGCTTACTACGGAATTTTGAAGTTAGCAATTTAATGAAAAAGTTAAATTAATAAAAAATTAGGACAGTGAAAGCACAAAAATATTACAAAATATGATTGTACATTTTCAACAGGGACATTTAAAAATGTCTATTTAAGATATTTTTTAAAACCCCACAGATTCATTCACTAGATTCAAACTTGTGCAATGACAGCAGGTTGCTCTTGCTAAAACTGCGGGGAAAACTTTCTTTTTCCATGTTTGAGTTCAAGTGTGTTAAGACCTCTGTAATCCTTACTTAATTCTAAACAAAGCAAGCCTTTCTTGTATTGCAAAAGAAAAGAGAGAGGTGGATGGAAAGTACCAGTGCTTTGTAAATCAGGTTACTTCATAGTTATCAAAATTCTTCGGAAACTAGTAAGACTTCTGACTCAGGAGTCCTGAACAGGAGGGAGTATGCACAGTATATTGAGACAGCTAGGCATAGCTTAACTTGGCTCAATCTTATTTTAAAGGCATACTCTTCAAAACCTTGACGTGCAAAATTTGAGTAAGAAAATAATACCAGGTATCTCACAGGGCACAATTAAATCCATACATTAGTTATTAGTATATACTCAAGCATAGAAGCTGTAACATCCCATTCTCATTCCTTATTGAGTTAGTTGAACACTGGTCCCAACTTTGCTGTTCTTTCTTACCAATAACACAGCTTTACATGCCCTCCTGAATATATCTACTTCACCAGATCTTGACCACGTGTTTAAACCACCTTTAAGGGACTGTAAACTTCTTGTATGAAACGTGGAAGAATCAAGAACAGTTATAATCAACACAAAAAAAGTATAGCATGTTGTATAATGGGATCAACATAAGACAAATTCTTGAAGATACAGCAATAGCCATAAGTCATGGGAAAATATGGCATATAGTCATGAACCTTGCTGTCACTTTTCTAACCTCCTAAGTGTTTTTCTTCCTTCTGTGACATTTATGTAACAACAACTTAAGTTTCCCATAGTTGTCCCCAGAAGTACAGTTGCCACCAGGCCGAAATACACACCAACTACTAAGATACATTCACAAAGTACACCTTGTTTAATTTCCAATATAGTTCCACCTAGATTTTGTACAAGTCCAGTTGGGTTTCATAGAAATGCACACGTACACACACATACACAAGCACACACACACACACACACACACACACACACACACACACACACACACACACACCCCTTCCAAAGAAGCTTGGGTTGCTTGGCTTCCGGAGGCTGATATATATAAAAATCAGTGTAAAAAGTTTTGTAATCACGGCAGAAGGCTGCCCAGAGCTAGGCCAGCTATCAGGTGTATGCACCTAACATTAAGGCTGAATGAAGAGACCTCAAAAAGTTCGTGCAAAGACGTTTTAAAGATAACTTTATGTTGGTTCAAACAATCCTGAAATCCATGCAGTTGTATTATTACTCGAGTTTGAAAATTGGTTCTCCATGGCACCCCAACAGATACACACTTGAGTTTAATGCACTCCATCTGTTGTGTTGCTTGCTAAAGGCATAAACACAACGGAGTGCAGATCTGCAGGCGTGGTGCAGGGCGAGTTCAATACCCACTGCTAACCTGAAAGGAAATGGAGTACTGTCAAGGGAGAGAATCAAGGGAAAAGGAATTAGGCAAGCAACAGCGCCATGCATCAGAATTCCTCTCCATCTCCAAGCTGGCAAATTTTCTCCAGGGGGCCATCAGTCAATTGGTGTCAAATTGGTAGCTGGGTCTGTTGCAGTCCCTGTGTTGTGGAGAACCTTATGTGTAGGAACACAAGTCCCACTCAGTCACAGTGGCGACGCTTCTATTATCTTACAGCAAAATTGATTGCTGCAAATGGTTCCTGAGAGGCCTGACCTGCTTCAAGGCAAGAAGTCAGGTTCCTTTGGTCCTGTGCCTGCGGAAGGCAGACACACTTGTCAGGATGTGAATGGGAGGAGGGGTGTGAGGAAAAGAAGAAAGAACCTCCTCATTTCTTCCTTTGCAGGTGGAAGAGAAAGAAGCTAACGTCGGTGGCTTGGAGAGAGGAAAGATACAGTGCGTTTCCAGCGCGCCTGCGGTCCTTTAGATGCGCTCCGCACTGCCGCTATTCTCTTGACCAGTCCGTGCACTTGGCCTCGACTATCCCAAGGATGGGCTTGGGAGAAAGCCAAGTCAGTACTGTCGGCTGGTCCCGCTTCCCCCAAAATGAAAACTCAGCAGCGGGGCAGCAGCGGGAGTGCGCGTGTTAATGTACGAGTGTGTGCGCGTAGCGGCGGACGCCGGGGGCCCCGGCCGCCCTCCAGGCCGCCTGCGCCCCACCCCGCCGCCACCCCCTCCCCTGTATAAAGGCCGCGTTCGCCGCCAGCGTCCTCGCAGCCCGGGAGCGCGGCCTGCCGGGGAAGCGGCCTCACACTCTGCACACAGTCGCACTCGGCGCGCTCACACTCTGGGAAGCGCCTCCCCACGTCCCTCCCCTGCCCTCCTCTAGGTTTGCTCCTCTCTCCCTCACCGCAAACAGTCGCCGACCGACTGCCAAGCCGCCTCTCTTGTCTCTCTCTTCACAACATGACTGACTGGGAAGCGGTGGCTCTGGCAGAGCAGCTCTGCTGGCGCAACCAGAAGGAGCAGGAGGATTATTAAATAACGCAGCTCGACTCTGTGCAACTGGGAGTGGAACGAAGGAGCCCAACGGCCGAGACGGGGAGGAGGGAGGGCAAAGGAGGGGACCAGGAAGGACACCCCTGTGCCCCGAAGACACAAATCCCTCAGTGCCCTGGAGCAGCCTTAACCAGCGGTGTGCAGCCCTTCAGGTAGTAACGCCCCTGGTGCCCCCCGCGTCCGGCGGGTGGCGCGCCGCGTCGCCGCTGCGTGGTGGCCGGGTCCCAGCGGACCCCGGGATGAACGCCCGGCAGGTGACCGCGCGGTGGCCGGGTCGCAGGCCGTGGGCCCGGCGTGTGCCTCCAGGAGACCTGGCCTTGCGGGCGGGATGGGAGGGAGGCGGACGGGTTCTCACGCCGCGGGCCCGCGACTCCCTGCGCGCTGCGTGGCCATTTCCTGCGCGCTCAGTTGTCCCCCCTCGGCCGCCCCTTTCCGGGGCTATGCGGAGCGGGGCCGGCCGGAGAGGCAAGAGTTGGGCGCAGGTTCCGGGCCGTCCCCTCCCGTGGCCGCCCGGGTCCTGCAGGTAGTGGCGACGGGCCCGGCGCCTGGGCAACCGGGGCCGGGGCGGGGACGGCCGCGGAGCGGGGGAAGGGGAGGCGACGGCGGTAGGGAGCTCAGGCTCCCGGAGGAGCCGCAGTGCCCGGGTCGGGACCGCCTCTCGCCTCCGCCCGCTTCCTTCTGGCGCTGGCTTCCTGGATTGGAGGCGAGAGCCTCCCCAGCGGCGACAGGAACAGCCGTGACTTAGAGTGAACAAATTGCTTTGTGGTGGCGCCGCAAGGGCTCCAGGGTGTGTGTGTGTGTGTGTGTGTGCCTTCGTGTGTGTCCCTGCCTCGGACAAACACGGCCTTCGTTCACCTGACGAGGAAGTCAGCCGCGAACGAAACCGCAGGTGGATGCAGGGTGCCTTCCTCATCCTCTGGCTCCGGTTCTGGTACCAGCGTAGGGCCGGGGTGCGCGCACGGCTGAGGGAAGGATTTGTGAATGGTGCTTCTCTGCGCGTGGCGGCAGAGCCTTGCTGATGTAAGGGAGGAGGCATCCTGAGTGAGAAGAAAGGCTATTTATGGCCAAGAGTTGTGAAATTTCTCGGGGTTTCCTTGAGTGTTTCCTGAGCGTCTCCCTCCCCCTCCAATCAGAATGAGAAGCCGTCCCCTGGCTGCCCCCTCTCGTGGGGCCTCATGTTTTTGCAGGTAGAAAGAAAAAAAAAAATCCCATTTTAGAAGTCACAGAGCTCTTGTCTTTTAATGTTTCTATGACTGCGTTTACCTCTCCGGAGCTTAGGTTCCCTGAATGCGAGCTTTAAGAGAAAATCCCCACCTGGTTTCAAAAGCTTTAATTTAAATTTCTTTTAAAATATTGAAATATTTTCGCAGGGATACCGTGCTAGTGAAACATACACATAGGCACACATGATTGTTAACATAATATACACACGTTTGTATAAAGGATGCAGAAGCAGACACCTATATGGGTTTTATTACTACCGATTCTTTGAAAACTAGTTATCAAGGGGAAACTTTAAAAACTCTTTAATCCAAGCTATAATCCTGTTTCGCTTTCTGTTGCCTTATAATAACTAGAGATTCGAAAGGTCCAGCTTGAAGCTTAGCGCTTACATGGCATAATGTCTGTCATACTTTAGCAGATTTATGTTCTTGAAAGTAACAGCCTGTGCTACTGACGACTGGGTTGACACTGCAGGATAGTGTCCCACATATATGACACTGGGATGTTTTTAAGGGTTGGCAAGCAGGCTGTCTTTAGAACATACTAATCCTTTACTCCAAGCACTTCGCAGCTAGTTCAAGTAAAGAGAACTGGTCAACCTACTGTCGGAATTCTTTGTCTTTATTTGCTGTAATTGAGGACCTTTGATGTTTGATCAAGACATGCCAATTGTTGTTCATTTCCGTTTATTTCTTTCCTCCAGCATGAAAGTGGCTTTCCTTAGTGGTCTTGTTTGAAAGACAAGGCAGAGTCAAAAATTTAATATTTTGACCTGGTTAGATTCATACTGGTTTAAAACACATTACTTAACTCGCAGTTTATGCCGTGTTAGTCTTAGATTGAGGGATTAACGCCCAAAAACCATTGGACTCTGGAGATAAAATTGAATTTAAAATGTAGTGTAGTGAACTGCATTATTGCACTCATTGAAAGTCCTATTGATGAATATTGCTTTTGTTACTGTCAGGGGATCAGCATCTGTGTATTGTATAATGTTAATGTAGAATGTTAAATTAATCTTAAAGATACTGGATATGTGTATAATGTTAATTTGCGTAAATCTCACGAAGTACAATACGAAGAACTTCTGTTTTTCCAACAGTTATTTGACTTTGCATTTTATTTAACTACTCGCCATATTTCTGGTAAAAGAGCTATTATATGTGAATTGCTGCCTAGGTGTTGTGCAGGAAACTGAGGCTCCCGGGGCCTCTTGCTCTTCACAGATTGTTGGCCAGTTGAGGAAATATGCTACTGACGCTTGAACACAGAGTTAACAGCCCCGACAGTAAGAGATTACATATCTAATCAGGACAACAGGAGTTCAGAGCATGACAATGACATTTCATACTGAATTTTGTTTGAAAGGGCTTAAGGGTGTAAGACTTACTGGGTGTGATCTTAAAGGATAAATAGGATTAGCAGGTTGCGGGTGGAAAAAAATAATAAACATGCAAGTCTCCTGGAATGAAAGGAGAGGGAAAAGATATAGGAAAGATGCATTTGTTATGAAGTAGATTAAAATATTGCTGGGTATTGTACAAAGTGCAACATGCATCTGCTTTTGATATATAATGTGGGTACATTCCGTTATCAGAGTTCATGGTCCAGCTTCTGCAGCTGAAAACACAAGTCTTTGTATTACCTTTTGATAAGCTACACATAACTAGTACTACTGCAGTTGTAAAATAATGTATTTATGCACACATGTACTTTAGGGGCAGATGTTTGGCCTAAGACTTTAGCATGTGAGGCGCCCACATCCTGCACTGAACATCTGCATTGGTGTCCTGGTGCTGAGTCTGAGTCCACCTTCTTGCTGTGAAGCGCCCTGAGCAGCAGCAGGTGACGCTCAATTAGTTGGTTGTCTGCTACTTATGTAGGAGACTCAAGTTGAGTTTCTTTGGGCTTTGGTCTGGCTCAGCCCTAACTGTTGTGAGTAATTGGGGAATGAATCAGAAGATGGGAACTCTGTCGTTCGGTCTATCAAAGCAATGTATAATTTAAAATAAAGAAATACTGTTAAATATTTAACTATAACTGCATCATGCTAAAGTGTTAGATTTGGTAATAGTGACGAAGTGTTGTGGTCACAACCTCTTCATGTCGAGATGCTTTGGATGCTTCCTTGACTGAGTACTAAGTTTGTTCTAAAGAAGTGTGATGATGTTTAATAGAATGAATGAGCATTGAGCAACACTGAAATCTTCATATAAAACATGTAACTCATTAAATAATATTTTCTTTAATGTTTTAAAGTTACACTTACCTGGTCTCTTGTATGTATAACATGTGGTTATATGCATCTGTCTAATATTTCACCTGGCCTTAACTTGCAGTGAGTATTTATGGGAAATTTCTAAGAATTATAACAATGGTTTTAAAATTTTTTATTTCCACTAAATAATGATACAATTATAGGAGCATGAACTCTGTTTTTTTCTTTGTACGTTTATGCTTGCTATTTATTTTACACACAAAGCTGTTAAAATGCCTTTCTTCCTTTACGAAGAACTGTTAATATAAGGAGAAAAGATTACTGCATTCCATAGGTGTTGTTCTGGGAGGACAGTCATACTTCCGTCATTTCTTCACTTTAAAAGAGCAAAGGGAAGCGTTTGTTGGCTTTGAACCTGCTTATCTCATATGACACCCCTGAAGTATGTTATGGTGACAGTAAAGTAATTGTACACCTAATAGATATGACTTTCAATAACCAAATGGAATTGCTTTCAGATTACTTGAATTAAAAGATTTTCTCATACATTTTGTTGACAGTGAATAGATAAGAGTTATTATAAAAGTGAAAGCCTATTAAATCACCAATTTCATATTCATGCAAGAATAGAAAGTTCTAGCATTGTCAGGGCACAAACCAGCCTTTCTGTTTATTGGTCCCTTTTGAGTTTGTTTTTGGACTGCATGCCACACGTATGTCGTTGGATAATGTAGTCTTGCCTGCTGTATGACTGACAGCTTCTGCATGATTTCCCTACTGGGTAGTGACAGAATCTGTTTGCTTTATATTAAGGACATACATTCCTATCAGCAATGTAATCTTCATTGTACGAGAGTGTCAGCTAACAATAATACATGACGAGTCTGTGGTGGGAGAGCAATGAGAAGATTAAGGACAAAAATCTATAGCAGAGAAAAGAGTCTCACTAGGAAGCTAAAACTAAATATAAAAATGCAAAGCTGACTGTCCTAAATTAGGTTTTATTTTTATTTTTAACAGCCATATTGCAATTTAAATTGTTTCCATTGTGAGGTAAATGAAAAGAAAAACATAAGGTGGTGATTGAAAATATTAGGGTTGTAGGTGTGAAATTAAAACTTGCCAAGAGTTCTGCTTCAATTATTTGAAGTTGTTTGCTAAAATTCTTGCTTTATGCTTTGATATATGACTTTTGTCATTTATTTATTTATTTATTCATTTGAATTTTGAATTGTGTGGTACAATTTTATGTAGGCTGGGAGTCCCCCCAAACTCCCACCCCGTCAGATTTTTCCCATTTTGTTACAATAGTGTAGTCCTTCATAAGGAATCATAATTCTGTTAGTCTCTTATTTAAGTGTAGCCCAACATTGTTGGTACAGACAATGTCAGACGGTCCAGCATCCCATTGTCTCCACATATCATGTATTCTTTATACTGCATTAACAATTGTGACAGTTTCATTAAGTTGATTAAAATTTTGTAATACCATAATAGTGTTCGGTTTCTAAATAAAAAATAAAGAAATTCCTTATTAAGATGGCGAACTTTTAAAGAGATTTATTTATTTATTTATTTATTTATTATGAGAGAGAGAGAGACAGAGAGACTGAGAGACATCTTCCATCTGCTGGTTCATGCCTCGAATGTTGGCAATGGGTTGGAGCCAGGCTAGGTATACCAAAGCCAGGAGCTTATTCTGAGGCTCCC